GGACTTACCTTACAACACAACGCATTCAAAATGTCACTACTTGCAATATGAGATGCAACTCTAAAATATTGAGAATTTTACCGTGAAAAACTTTTTTTACCTTAACATCTACTTTCTACTGCTCCCAAAGACTAACGGCAAATGTCCGTTCTACATTCATTGTGCTCGCACTGCACAAAATAACTATCTCTTTTGCTTGCATCTCGTACTGCAAATACGGCATAGAGCCATTCATTAAAAGTTTTCTATGGAGAAAGAAAAAAAATTGACGTGACCAACATTAATTTTTCTTTCTTTTCATTTAAATATATGTTTATCTTTGTTTTCTTTCAGTTTTTCTTTATTGCATTTTTTTTTCACAACGATTTGACCAGTTCACTCTCCGACCTTCTTTTGATGCATTTTTAAAAATTATTTTTGCAATGAGTCAAAGCGTGATGGTATGAGAATGTTTTTATAATCCGATCCTGATTGATTGATTGAGTTGTTTATTTTTTTTACGGCTTATCAACCTTTGGAAGGTTATTTAAAGCCAGAAAACCTTTTTAGATTCTAAGAATTTTGGGGGATATAATAATGATTTATTGATGCAAGTCATACTAATTAATCCATAGACTGGGTAGAGAAAAGGTGGAATCATACATTTCCGTAGGATATCTGCGCGTGAATATAACTAAGATGATTGAAATTGTAACTCAGCTCTCCTATTCCAATTCTGAGCCGTTATCCATTACACCACCTGCGCATCCAAGCTTACAGTACCTGGTACTCTCAGGCGGTTACCCATTTAGGTACTGACCAGGCTCGACGTTGCTTAACTTCGACTATCATATGTATTTTTAAGTTTGTATAAAAATTTAATAAGAAATTAAAGAATAATAATGCTTGTAAATATTTGATGTGTTCTTTTCTGGGGAAGTCGAGATCTGTGATACCGTTTGCACATGAAAAAAAAAAGCACATAAAATATGCGTACATTTGAATTAATTTATATTTTAACATTTCCCCCAAATACTAGGATGTAGCCCGAAAATCTTGTTTACCATAACGACAACAAGTTCTTGATAATGACTAAGAAAGGTTGAACAACAAATAAATGTACTTCGAGCAGTTTATCCACATATTTTGATCCTGATGTACGACATTTTATTCGGAAAATTGGAAAAATGCAAGAAAAAAATAAACAAACTGACATACCTTGTCAGTATTTATCCAATTTTCGTATAATTTGTTGCATATTTATATCAAAATGGCGGATAAAATGACGAAAGTGTTTCTGTTTGAGTATTTTTCAACCATTGCTGTTAGTTTTGAGTTGGATGTGCAACAACTTACTTGAAAATTGTAAAAATACAATAAAAGATGAAATCGACTCGATCTTGTTTAAATTAATTGTTGCTGCCGAAATATACGATATACAGAGTATTCCCAAAAATGTATACACACTTTAAATAATTATAAAGTTATAGTTTATTAAAATACATTTCATTTTTCAAAATTTAATAGAATCTACAGACATTATTTTATTGTTTTGTCAACGCCTGTTTTCAAACTGACGGCTGTTTCTGGTCCAGGCACTGCAAACAACGCGAAGCAATGGAATCGCAAACATCACCAAAACATTTCGTTTGTTATTATTGTGCATTCTCGTCCAATGGCTGCTCTCAATTCAGCGAGTGTTGCAGTTTTCATATTGTAGACTTTGTTTTTTAAGTATCCCCATAAAAAAGTCTAGTGATGTGAGGCCAGGTGAACACGAAGGTATTCTAAACGGAACCAGTGGCAGTAGCGTCAAAAAAGAATGGTCCAATTAATCTTCTTGATGATAAACCGTACGACACTGCAACTTCTGGTAAATTAACATGATGTTCCGCCATAACATGCAGATTCTCAACTTCCTCTGTAGGTGAAACTGTGGCGGTTAATTGAACTATGTAATTTGAATGTGGCTTGAATTCCACACAATCTTTACTGGAAAGTGAGCATCTTCTACACGTCATGCCAAGTACAACTCGCAATACTTCGGTTAGATCATCGTCATTAATAGCATGGACTAATCTTGGAATGTAACTTTTCCATTGACAGCGCTTCAAAATGCGTTGGACAACTCGCTTGCCGCCCAGATTTTCTTGGACTTTTGGGATACGTTTCCAGGACTCCTTCTTGCTTTGTTGGGCTTGTCGATGTCGGTGGTCTTCTGGGACGCTTCTCGTGAACATTCCGAACACTTCCATCGGCTTCAAACTTATCTTTCAGTCGAGTGATGGTAAGTCACGTTGGTGGATCTGTTTGAGACTCCCTCCTAAACTGCCTTTGCACTTCAACTGCGTTTTCACACTTCCAATAGCATTTTAGAATGAATTTCCTTTTTTCAAAGCTTAGTGTGACTGCCATCATTAATTCTAATGAGTTTAATCTGGAAAGTAAAAAATCAATTAAACTATCAACTGTTAAAG